TGATCACGACTTACTAGTTACAAATAATTACTGTGCTTGATTTCACTTGCTTTTTCTCAAATAACATAGACTAAGAAATATTAAGTCAAGAGATGTTTATTTCATTAGTTTTAGGGTTCCTTAGTATTTCAGAATATTGACAGTGAGAGCTTTGGGAAAGCCCAGAACTAAGAAATGGAAAAGAAAGCAAGGTTTGTCTATGTGTCTCTACACAGTAACAACACAGGGTGACTAAGGGAAACGTGCTAGAACCTGCACTTGGCTCTATCCACTCTGCTGGATGAACAGAATGCATAACACAGGTGTACAGAGAGGCTGGGGGATTGTTTGTACTTTCAAGTGCAGAGCTGACCTCACCTATAATGTAAAATGTGGTTAAACCTAGGTGGTAGTTTACAGAGGTACTTTATCGTAAAACAGCTTGGCTCCTTCTGAACAGCCCAGGAGTAGGACATAAGGTGCTATAAGCTTTGAGATAACTGGTTTGCTTTGGAGTTTGGAACTGATATTAAGTATTTGATAGTTAAATTATATAAGCTTTAAAGTTAAGTTATTTTCATAGGGGAAAATAGCATATTAATTTTATTCTAATAGCATAGTTATTGTTTTATGCTAAATTGAGGTCTTTCTTGTAGTAGGCCCTAGAACTTAGATTTAATTCTGTTAGGTCTTCTAATCATTGTGTTACAGACTGGCCAGAGAAAGGAGATCTCATACCAGATGGAATGGACTCTGCATCCCATGCCACCACATGGTCTGTGGGAACAGCTCTATTTTGCTGCTCATATGCTGCTGTTCACTTAACTTGCTCTAGTTTCTCATTTTCTTCTACCCTCCCCTCTCCTCCCCCGGACTCCCCTTTTTCTTCCTCTCTCCCTATTAGGGATTGAACCTTGGGAAGTCCTCATGTATGCTAGGCAAGTGCTCCTTCACTCAGCTACAGCCCCAGCCCTCAGCCAGTTCTTTAGGATGTGTCATGTTGTAGGTCTGAGAACGATGAGGGTAGATATGGACTTGATCTGCCGTAGAATTCGTGATTGATGAGGAGAGTATATCCTTGGGGACTGCTGCTCTCTTGATCTAGGTTTGATTGGCAGGAACAAGACTAGATCTGAGAGTTCAATTCTCATTTAGTGGGCACAGAGGTACTTATCCAGGTGTGATTCATCTCATTCTCCATGTTCAAGAATCAGTCTTTCACAGATAGCTGGGCTCAGCCTTAAATATTCTTGCTCATGGAACGGCCATGAGACTATAGCAGCTGACTCTAATATTGCTCCTTGCCTCTAAAAATCCTTCACCTGTGACAAAGCTCCATCGCCTTTAACTGTAAAGATTCTGTTTTTGAAAAGTCATAATGGTATTCATGAATTTTCTGTATTAAGTAAGACTTGATTGTGATTTTTTAAGTAAATTAATCTGTAGATGGAATATGTCTTTCTTATTAAACACTTGAAAACACTCCTTATTGCCCATCTCTCATGCTTGTTTATGTTGAGTCACTCACATTCTGATGATCCTGTAAACTGGTTTCTGGAAGGTTTTGTGGTTACTATTACTATTGACTGGGTCAGCAGACACCTACAGTGTTCTTCTGTCTGCTGATTCTCATGAGATATGTTGATTCTTTCTGTTTGTTTTGTGAGATAAAATCTCATGTAGTCCAGGAACTCTAACTTTCTATGTAGTTGAGAGTCATCACCTTAAACTCCTGATTCTGCCCCTACTTCCTAAGTGTTGGGATTACTGGCATGTGCCACCAGGCTTGGCTTCACATATGTCTGTCTGTCTTATCTGTCTGTTATGTAGCTGAGTTCCACAGAACTGCTGTGGCAATCAGAAGACAACTTTCAGGAGTCAGTTCTTTCTCATTACCATGTAGGGCTGGGAATCGAACCCAGGTCATCAGGCTTCATTCATCAAGCACCTTTACCCTCTAAGTCATTTCACGGGCACATGGCTTTTTATTCTTTATTAAATAAATGTCACTCACAGATTTTGACTATGTGAAATACAGAAGTCTTTTTGCAGTTTTCCTTCTCAGTACTGTCCCCACTCTTTTAACTTCTAAATAGCTTTTATATCAGAGACATATTTTATTATTGTCTTCTCAGTCTATATAATATAGCTCCCTAAAGGAGAAATTTCCAGAATCTGGGATAGCATTTTCATGGTACCTGCTATTTCCAAATAGTAAGTGGAGCTAAGATTCAAAACTTTTTCTTATATACCTTGACTTAACCTTAGGAGAATATATTCATGGAAATTAGTTATTCAGTAGTGAGGGAGAAACATAAAAGCCATTTTTAATCCTCTGCTTTTGGTGAGAAGTGGTGGGATTATATGATCATTCATGTATAGGAAATTAAGGAAACATTATTTTTACACTAAAGAAGCCCAGTAACTAAGAAACAAGGACTGTGTGTGTAGTTTTCTTGTTTGTGGTTAATACTGAATACATTTTGCTAGCCAGACTTTTTTTCCCTGGTTGTATTATACCTAATGTTTTTCCAAAAATAATACCTTTTATATTTTTCTTGTGTGTCCCCCAGCCAAGCCATTACCTAGCAGCAAACCGGCTGAATGACTTTTTCTTGCATACCATTCTGATGGCCAATTGCCAAGTCCTGTGACTGAAGGCTGTGTTTTCTAATCATGCTAAAATATGAATTTAGCTTCTATTTGATAAACATTGAGCAAGAGCTTTAATTTATGAGTTACGACTTTTTTTTTTTAAAGAAACTTATCAGAGGAAGATTTTTAGCACATGTATTAATGAAATAGTTCCTTGGCAGAATTACCACATTGCGTGTAGGTGGTCATTTATGAAAAACCAAGGTGGTGGTGGTTGTTGTTGTTGTTGTTGTTGTTGTTGGGGTTTTTTGGTCTTTTTGAGACAGGGTCTCCCTCTGTAGCTTCAGCTGGCCTGGAACTCCCTATGTAGACCAGGCTGGCCTTGAACTCATAGAGCTTCTCCACCTGCTTCTGCCTAGTGCTAGGATTAAAGGCGTGCACCACCACACCCTACTGAAAAGCCAAGTTTTAGAAATTATTTTTATTAGAAAATATAGTGATTTTACCAAGGTTTCCCAAAGGAACCAAGCATTATTTCTTCAATGGTGCTGCAGTAGGAATTATTGATCAAATTATTGAAGTACTTTTAGATCTACTGAATGTTGGTTTTTTTTTTTGTTGTGTTTTTGTTTTTATTTTTCAAGATGGTCTCCCTATAGCTCCAGATGGCCTGAAATTTTTAGGAAGATCAGGCTGGCTGCAATCTCACAGAGATCCACCTCCCTGTGCCTCCCAAGTGCTGGGGCTAAAATGGTGCACCACCACACTTAGCCTGAATGATTTGTGTGTGTGTGTGTGTGTGTGTGTGTGTGTGTGTGTGTGTGTTTGAGACAGGGTCTCCCTGTAGCCCCAGCTGTCCTGGAACTCACTCTGTACACCAGGGTGGCCTTGAACTCACAGAGATCCGCCTGCCTCTGCCTCCCAAGTGCTGGGATTAAAGTTGTGTGCCACCATGCCCAGCCCGGTCTGAATGATTTTTAATTTGCTTCTTGGAACATCAATAATACTCAGGGTTTGTTTGTTTTTTTTTTTTTTTCCTGCTTTTTGCTTTTTGCTTATAACATTTTCTTAAAATAGTCATTCTATTTATATATTCTACATATAAAGTTGGGGAGAAGTGTGAGAGAGCAATTAGTGATTCCTTCCTCTGATATTTGGGGCTCTGTATGAAAGAAGCCAAGAATGGAAGGGGAGGCATTCAGTTTTGAGAAAACTTGTGCATTTTGGGAAACTTTATTTTAATATTAAAGTTTGTCATAAGCTAGAGTGCTTAGAGATGTATACTAATGTAAGTTTGAGAAAATGAGATGACTTTTTTCCCACTAAAATTATAGCAGTGAAGTTAAAACATACTTTCTTTTAAAGCAATCTTATTTTTATGTGTATGAGTGTTTTGCCTGCATGTAGTGTACCATGTGTGTGCAATGCCTTTGGAGGCCAGAAGAGGGTGGCAGATCCCCAGGAACTGGTGTTTTGAATGGTTGTTGACTGCAGTTTGGGTGCTGAGAACTAAACCTGGGTCTTCTGCAAGAGCAAGAAGTGCTCTTCACCGAATCTTTTCTCCATCTCCCAAAACATACTTTCTTAGCCTGGTGTGGTGGCACACGCCTTTAGTCCCAGCACTTGGAGGCAGAGGCAGGCAGAGAGGCCAATGTGGTCTACATAGCAAGTTCCAGGCCAGCTGGGGTTACTACATTAGAGACCCTATTTCAAAAAGAGCCCCCCCCCGACACAGACACACACACACACACACACACACACACAATCATACTTTAACAACAGTGCCATTTATATCATTAATCAAATCAGTGGATCATTGTTTCCAAGTGGACAAAAGAGAATGAAATTTTTTTGCTTGTGAAAAACAGCTCTCAATATTAATAATATCCTTTGAACAAAAACAGAAGGGAACTGTTGTCTTAATAGTCTCTTATCTCTTGCTGTATATTTAATTCTTCTATGTGCGTATCACAGTTTAAGTACTTTATAGTCATTCAACATTAACTCATAGAAGGAATAATCATCTATTTTCTCCACTTAGAGACTATGGAAGAAAATAGTTCAAGTGTATATTCTATGTATATGTTTTCTCTTTTCTTTGAAATTTATTATTTTTGTTTGTGTGGACCCTGTCCTTGCTGAGTACAGGTTGAAGGCATAGCCTTAGGGCTGACAAGAACTACTTGTCAGAAATTCTGCCGTAGTGTTCAGAACATGTAAAAGATTGGGTTTTGGCAGGGTAAGGGACTTACCTGAACTGGCTTCCGTGTTAAAATCGTAAAGCTTTTATTTCCAGAAAAATGCATTTGGTGAATTAAAGAAACAAATCCTTCAGTATGTCCTCCTCCTGTGTCATATGTTCTATTTACATGATAAAAAACATTAAGAATTCTCTCAAATTCTCTGCTGTCTGTTCCTCATTCCAGCATGCTCGAGGATGACCTACAGCTCAGTGACAGTGAAGACAGTGACAGTGAACAAGTGAGTATTGACCATTTGGTGAGATCAAGAATTCTTTTAAATCCATCTGACATATCCGAGCTGCTTGTCCTAACCTGTTTTTTTGTTCTTTCCCGGAACTTCTTCCCCTTCCTGTGAATGTCTAGGCCCCACAGAAGCCTCCCTCCTCATCTGCTCCTCCAAGGTACTGTCTGCACCTTTCTCTCTATTTGTCCAGAAACTGGCAAAGTCTTACCTTAGTACTTTCATAGCTTCATGAAAGGGAAGATGATGCAGGGTCACAGCTGAAGGAAATGCTAGACACTTAAGAGCTAGTGGGAAGTTATTAACCGTATAAAAGTAAGAGTCCCTGCAACCGCCTATATCATTGTTTTAGAGCTTAAAATTTTTTGAGCTAAGGGGTTAGGGATATGGCTCAGTTAATAAACATGAGGACCTGAGTTCAAATCCCCAGTACCCTCAGAAAAGCCAGGTGTGACTCTGGAATCCCAGTACTGGGCAGGTGGAAACAGGTAGATTCCCTGGAGTTCATTGCCAGCTAGTCTGGCCTAATCTGTGATCTCCAGGATTAGTGAGAGACCTTCTCTCAAAAATAAAGTGCAAGCCAGGTGTGGTGGTGCATGCCTTTAATCCCAGTGCTGGGGAGACTATGACAGGCAGATTTATGAAATTGAGGCCAGCCTGGTCAACATAGCAAGTTCCAGGCCAGCAAGGGCTACAGGAAGACCCTGCCTCAAATGAATGAATGGATGAATGGAGAGTGATTGAGGTAGACACCTGATGTTGACCTTGATGTTGACCTCTGGCCTCCATATTCACATGCACACATGTACGTGTGCATCATTATACAAATGTGCACACACACAAACATTTACATGTGTGTACACAAAATTGAGCCAGGTATGGTGATGCATGCCTGTAATCCCTGCACTTGGGAGGCTGAGTGGGAGGGTAGAAAGTTCGAGGCGAGGCCATGTTGGGCTACAGAGTGAGACTTTCAAAAAAAACCTTTTTTTAATTTAAAAATAAGCTTAAAACAAGTTTACTATCAATATTGTGTGAGTAGTATTCGAAAACTTAGACCTAGGAACCCATATATTTATGAAAGTGATAGACTGTGTTTTTAGGGGCTGGAGAGATGGCTCAGTGGCTAAGAACACTGACTGTTCTTGCAGAAGACCTGGGTTCGAATCCCAGCACCCATATGGCAGCTAACAGCTGTCCGTAACTCCAGTCCCAGGGGATCTAATAGCCTCTTCTGACCTCCGTGGGCATTGCACAACACAGGCGCACTTACCTACATGCAGGAAATACACACATACACATAAAATAAAAATAATATAAAAATTTAAAAAGTGATAGACTGTGTTTTCAAATAACTTCTTTTCCAATGTTCCTTTTTTTGTTTTTTAAGTTGTGTGACTTTTCAAACAGTTTTAGCTTCTTTAAAATATGACCTCTAGTACATTTTAGTGTGAGGGGAAATGGCACTGTTTTCACCTTTAAACAAGCCAGCCATATTTTAGAAAAGTTAATGCTTTGAGTTTTGAAACTAGAAATTTATTGAACTATTTTTATATTATTTTTTTCCTGGTACTAAATCTAATAATTTAAGATGACAAATACCTTTCTCTCATGGACAAAGAATTAAGTTATTTTATTGTCTTGTGATGTCTTCATCTCCTTAGAGACAAGGTTACCAGTAAGAACTTGCTTGTCAGAAGTGATGATATAGTTAATGGTAGAGGAAGCCCATTAATTCTCTAGTCCACTGATTTGTATGCTCAGCTTGTTTATTTATATCCAATTTTGTTGAACTTTCTAGTAGCTCGTGTTGACTCATAAAATATGACAAATTAGTCTAATGTAAAAGTGGAGGAAAAGTCAAAAGTGAAAGCAAAGGACAGGGCTAAGTTAGAGGTAAGCGTTCCCTTGAGAGTAGCTTTCTTTTTCTACTATCACTGACAAACTCTGCACCAGTGTGAAAGTAATGCAGAGCTGATAGAGAGCTTTATATGAGGAGGTGAGGTCTCAGTAGAGTGTTTGCTTTAAAATTACTGCAGTCAGCTAGGCCTGGTGCCTTTTATCCTAGCACTTGGAAGGCAGAGGCAGGCGGATCTCTGTGAGTTCAAGGCCAGCCTGGTCTACATAGTGAGTTCTAGGATTTCCAGGCCAGCTGAGGCTACCTGTCTCAAAAGACCAAACAAACAAACAAATAAATCTGCAACCACTGATTTTTATTCTGCTATTATGTGTTATTTAATAAAGATTTATTTTGGAGATAGTATAGGTAAGTTTAGAGACTTTCAGGGTTGTAGTTAAGAACTTACTGCTTTAGCTAATACCTTTTAGGGCAAGGTTTTAAAGTTGTATATGATTTGAAACTGTCTAGCAGTGATCCATATGCTTTCTCATTGCCCTAGAGTTAATGGCCTGCTTTTAAAACTTGGAGTTGTGTATGCCCAGGAACTCATAAAGAGTGGCTTCTTTATAATTCCACCAGGAAGTGTGACTGGATCATTTTTGAGCTCACCCTGCAAAGGAACACTACCTGTGTTCACTGGCATTTGGTTGCTCTCTAATTAGCTCTTGTATAGAGAATACAGGGAGGCTTTCACACACTAGTCTTTGTTTCACCCCCTTTCTTTTAGATTATAGGTAGTAGGAGCCAGCAAACTGAATGAGCCACATAGTTAGACACTTTAGCCTTTGCAAATGTGTAAGTCTTTGGTGAACTGCTTCCCTCTACTGTTGCAGCATGAAAGCAGCCACAGATGGCCTGTAAGACAATGTAAGAATGTTCTAATAAAACTTTATTTAGAAAAAATAGCAGCATGATCTGGCATTGGTTTCCCAGCCTTTGATATCAGATATCCAGCACCTAACATATTTTTTTAAAATATCTTGACAAGTTCTTTGAGAGTAAAGCGCCACAAGCCCCTCTTTTATGTGGTTATCTAGTGAGTACTTTGGAAGGTTTTTCACTCATCCCAATGCTGTGGATCCTGCTCTCCACTGGACGAATAACTGACATTGAGGCTTTTCCTTTCTAGGAGCAGGAGAATGGGCCAGGGCAATGAGGGAAGAAATCCACTCTGCTTGATCGTCTAATTTTACCCTCGGGTTGCTTTGCAGTGCTCCACAGTCGCTTCCAGAACCAGTGGCATCAGCACATTCCAGTAGTGCAGAATCAGAGAGCAGTGAGTCAGACAGCTCCTCTGACTCGGAGAGTGAGAGCAGTTCAAGTGACAGCGAGGAGAATGAGCCCCTGGAAACCCCGGCTCCTGAGGTACTGTGCCCCTTTCAGAAGGCCATCCAACATGGCAGTGTGCTGGCTTTTGGGCTAGAGTCAGCTTCAGGCAGCACTGACTCTGAAACTATGTAGTCTGCCGCTTAGCGCTCTCCTAACCTGTGGAGCCGTCTGTTTCTGCTCACTGCTTACCAAATACTTGGCAGTGGAGAAGGGAAGAGACTCTTCCCTTCCCTGGTTGAATGATAGGTTCCTCTATGTTGTTGCTAGTGTTGCTTTAAAGAACAGCTCATTAAGAACGTTTGCACACCATTTTTGTTTTGAAAAAGAAACCGTGTTTTGAGCAGGCTCCTGTTTAGTGTCAGTGAAAGTTCTCTGTGAAACTTCAGAAAGTGTAAATTAAAGAAAGCGAAAGGAGATAGTCTGATAGGAGATAGTCCCTCCTCTGATTTAGAGGAGGGCAGAAAAGAGGTAGAAATAAGCTGTCAGTTCTGTTTTTGAATCACTAAAAGCCATGCATTAAGTTGATGGCAAAGTGATTTACCAGGGTTCTCATTCATGTTCCCTTCTGCCCTGTGTAGAGCAGGGGTCCTGTGTTTGTTTTTTCCTATCTTTGGAGGTGCTGTAAACATGAGCAAACCAATGAGACTGAAAATCTCAAGCACTACATTTCTCTGGAGAATTCATGCTATGTGCTGGTTGGTTGAGCACCAGAAATTGTTCGTAATAGCTAACAAGGTTGCCATATATCCTCAGAATTTGGATAACAGAGTGTATTATGCTTGGAAAGGATCATAATGAAAAGGGGAGGCATTCTTAATTTTGCTGAATGAGACTGGCTCATATAGAGAAAACTACCTGCATATTTAAGATTAGAATGCAAGAAATAAGGCTTTTTCATAAGAAAACAGTAAGTTTTCTGTATTCATCTCTGCTGTTTAGAAACAAGGTAGTTCCACTCAAACAGTAAGCACATCTGGGGATCATCTTGTGAGACGTAGGGGAAGAGGGGCTGAGAAAATGAGTATCTATGCCTGGCACAGAATAATTGCTTAGGTACGGGGGGCGGGGGGCAGTGGGTAGGTGTGAGGGTGGGTGTGAATGTGCATGAATGTACATCAGCATTAACTGCAGTTGAAGTGTGTTTGTGAGTCTCTGTTTCCTTGTGTGGTACTGACTGCTTTGAAAATATTTTTTTCTGGTTCTTAGGGAAAAGGAACTGAATATGATATGTAGATGAATTTTGTGATGGTCACTATAAGATCTTTGCCTGTGTTGTGTTTCTTTTCAGTACTGGGACTTTTCTTTTGGTACTGGAACTTGTACCTAGGACTTGATACCTGTTTGGCATGAACTCTCCCACTGAGCTGTATTCCCAGCCCTGTGTTTCAGCTTCAGTAAGAAAAATGTGCATGCTTGTTAGATTATTAATAGAAAACATATAATTAAATAATAAAGTTTAATTCAAATAAAATACAATTCATGCACATTTGGCAGAATAATTGAAACTTCAAATACAATTCAAAAAACCATTCTTTGCTGGGGATGTAAGAGCAATTACCTAGCATACATAAAACCCTGGTTCAATCTCTAGTACTGCCAAGAATAAAAAAGAAAAAAGATTGAATCTTGTGTTTATTATAAAGAGAGTTATGTCTCGGTGATCAAGAAGTGACTGGAATAAATCTTTGTGTGGTAGCACATGTGTATAAACCTAGCACTTGGGAGCCTGGGGCAGGAGGGGCAGTCTGGTCTACATTGTAACACCTATCTTAAAATAAAATAAAAAAAAAAATCACTGGAATCGATTGAAACATCTCAGATGCAAAATAAATGTTCCCATCTCAGTTGACTGGGGTTTTTTGTTTGTTTTTGGTTTTGGTTTTGTTGTTGTTGTTGTTGTTTGTTTTTTGTTTTTTTTGGTGTTTTTTCGAGACAGGGTCTCCCAGTAGCCCCAGCTGGTCTGGAACTCACTATGTAGACCAGGCTGGCCTCGAACTCATAGAGATCCGCCTGCCTCTGCCTCCCAAGTGCTGGGATTAAAGGTGTGCACCACCACACCCGGCCTCAGTTGACTTTTTAAAAAGATCACTTACTAAGGAAGCTTGTATCCATACTTTGTATAAGGATTGCGTGTTATGTACTGGGGCTCACCTTTCCAGGAATAGTCTTCTTGGTTTAATTTTCTCTAAGGTGTTTAACTACTTTTCTTCTCCTTTAAAATGAATGTCTCCTGGGGCTGGAGAGATGGTTCAGCAGTTAAAAGCACTGACTGCTCTTGCAGAGGACCCAGGTTCAATTCCTAGCACCCACACGGCGGCTACAAACCATCCTTAACTCCAGTTCCAAGGGAATCCAAAGCCCTCTTCTGACTTCTGGCATTGCACAACACGGGTGCACTCACATACATGCAGGCAATACACTCATACACATAAAATAAAAATAATAAATTTTTTTAAATGAATGCCTCCTAAATCTGCGTTTTAATAGAGAGCAACATGAATTTCATAATAAGTCATACACTAGTTTTAACTTTCTCACCCTCTTCTATTTTTAAATTTTTATTTGTTTATTGTGTGTGCACATGCCCATGTATGGTATACTTTTGGAGATCAGAGGTCAACTTTGTGGAGTTACTTTTCTCCTTCCACCTTTACGTGGATTCCAGGGATCAAATTCAGACCATCAGGTTTGTGCAGCAAATGTTTTTACCTGTTGAGCCATCATGTCTACCCTTCCACGTGCACCCTAACCCCATGTTGTAAAAAATATCGAGAAATTTGCTTTTGTGATTCACTGCAGCTCATCTCCTTCGATGAAGTAGTCCAGTGACCTGTGGGGTCTATATTCCATGCATGCTGGCTGGCCACTATCGAGCTTGGGATCTAGCCACTCTGGATCTTATTTCCATGTCTGCTTTAGACATGGGACCTGAAGGGATTGCTCAGAGGTTAAGAATGTGTATTGTTCTTCCAGAGGACCCATGTTCAGTGCCGAGCAGCCATTCAGGTGGCTTACAACCACCTGTGACTCCAGCTCCCAGGGATCCCGTGCCATCTTCTGGATTCTACTGGCACCTATATTCATTCACATACAATAGACACATTCAGACACACATAATTAAAAATAAAGTCTTGGAAAAGAAATACATATATGCATACTTTTCTGCTACTTTAGTAAATTTCAGAAAACACAGTTCTGTTTGAGATTATCTTGTATTTGTTATTGGCATAGTTTTCTGATTTGTCCATTGCCCAGTGCTTCAGAATCAACTATCTTGTATTGATTGCCTCTTGGAGTTTTTCCATAAATTATTTGTTTCAAGCCGAGTGTGGTGGCACATGCCCTTAGTCCCAGCACTCTGGAGGCAGAGGCATGCGGATCTCTCTGAGTTCAAGGCCAGCCTGGTCTACATAGCAAGTTCTAGACCAGCTGGGGCTACAGAGAGACCGTCTCAGAAAGACTGAAAAAAAAAAAATATATATATATATATATTTGTTTTAGCCT